TTCCCTCCTTCATTGGAACCTACTCCACCTTGATAAATATAACAACTCATTGTTCTTTATTACTGCCTTCTCTCTTCTGGAGACCCTAATCGCAGTTTACTCTTGCAACATGAGCTAGTATCAATTTAATCTAATAATTTATCATACCTCTATCTGTTCCACTAATAAATGTTAAGCATTGATTATCGCTCATATCCAAATGCCTTGCTGCTCCTCGGTTTCTCTTTTATTTTTTCTCTTCAGAATCTTGCTTTGAGGGTGAAGCTATGTAACTTCTGACATCTGGAAAAAGCTTGACGAACGCGCTTTCTCAAGGTCATAGCTCAAACCAGGCGCTCCACAAGCCTACTTTATAACAACTATAAACTTAAAAAGCTGCATTACATAAATACTTAGAACTACCGAAACCCTATTACACTTTTTGTCGAGATTGGATCTGGTATATAACGTGGACGCTATGCCCCTTTGGAAACTATTCTTATGAAAACACATTATATCTGAACGAATGAACTGCTATCAACTTTTATAGATTATAATTACTAAACAAGCTTGCTTGGGATGCATACTGTGAACCAGTATATGTTGTAAATTGTAGATCATGCCTGTAAAAATGGCGTGTACCTGCTAATGCAGAAATATATCATTATTATTATTATTATTATCTCTAATGATATTCCTAATGAGTGTGAAAAATATGTTCCGAATGAGTCGAATTGTAGTCATATTTCTGATGTTATTGTATCAGATGTTGGATACTCTCACGAACAATGTATGTTGAATAGAATCCCTAGTCAGGGGTATAATGAATCAGAGGGGATCACAAAATTTACCGAAATAATCAGAGAACCAGCTTGCCCAGAAGTGAAGTTTGCACAGACAGAGAATCCAAATCAAGTCCAAGATTATCCTAATGAATATGAGGCAGATGAATGTTTTCTATTCGATTGTTTTGCAGGTAAATCAAGCCTAGTTGAATCACATGTGTTAATTACATATATCAATGCATATCTATATGTGTATTCTAATATGAATAACAAAAAGAATATGTATCATGATTTTTACTCAAGTCAAAGTCACATGATGGAATACCTCAAATTTTATATCAGTGTTTATTCCCAAATACTCACATACAGTAGTCGATGCTTGAGGTTTGAGAAGACAATGCAAATTGGGAACGTCATATTGGCTAAAACATTGCGAAGTAAGGACACAACATTATTTCGTGGGGGAGGATATTGTTGGAAAGTCTATGATGCAAATTCTAAATATCAATGGTTTCACTACACAACCGACATGCTGATTGTATACAATTCCAGAACCCAGGTGAGTCTGTTCCAATTTTCGTTGTTAATTCTAATACTAATGAGTGCATTTTAGATAATACAGAGTGTACATCCAATACATCATCGGAGACATGTAAGATGAACTTAAGAAGAAGACGAACAATCGATTACAGACACTTACACTCCGATTCGAGCTGTGGCGGATGTGATGTTTAAATAAACCAATGACTTGTTTGTATTGATGACTGTTGTAATTTTGAATTCCAAATACAATACATTCGTTCGGGCTCATCTAATACTTCTTGATTAAATTGCGTTATTCCTGGGATTACTAGTTTATACTACAATTCGAATACTTCTGATTATCATAGTTTTCTCTTCAAAATTTTCCGGCGTCTACACTATCTTCTAACTCTGACACATTTTACATGCGACTGTTATTGAAGAGCTAGCGTTCATGAACGAATATAAGCCAACAGGAATGTCAACTGCAAGTAAATCAATATAATCTGTCTTATTGGTTCAGGTATCCCATATTCGTTGCTGATTAACTGCAGTTTCAGTGACGTTTTGAAACTCTTTATGCAGATGTATTTGCACATATGTGATTAATAACCTTACTGATCATATTATTACTATTCTAGCACAATTAGATATTGACTCCTCACATATGTAATTTTCTGTATGTATGTTAAGTTGTTAGTCTGCTTGTTGACTTACCCACTGTTTGCTTTTGGCTACAAGCGGATCCGTTATTTGGCACATAAAGTGATTCATCCGGTAGATCCAGATTTGTATATTGTACTTTCACATCTGCATTCATTTAAGAACTCTTGTGGGACGATTACCACTTAGTTCGTTAGTGCTACATATAAGAGAACGATTTTAGTGAGATTTTTACGTAAATCATCTAAATCTATCTGCATATGTCTTTTGTGAATAAAATACTGTAGTTAATCCGATTTTTCTGGATGGAAGAAACCATTCATTGACTAGATGAAAGGAAAAATGCCAATAATTCCACTCAAGTACATCATTAGCAAAAGGAATGGCTGAAACTAAGGGATACTTACCCTATCCTGACCTCCTAATGCTTGGTTTGCAGTAGTAAATAAATTTCCAAAATGAAGTGTTGTATGTCTTCAACATTGATACTGACCGGTTTAGGCTTAATGGACACACCTAACCGAAGGCACTCGGTCAAGTATCTGCATCAGGCTACGGGTCGGTACGCAGTGTTACACGTCCCTTGCAACTACTAGCTAGCTTAGATGAAGCCGTTGTTGACATATTGATAGATTTCAAAGTATATCTTTGAACTCCTCCATTTCTGAATTTTGACTTGACCGGGTTGGTAACCTTCGATTATAAAGGCGTTATCAAACCCAGAATACCTGTGGCAAATGTAGTAGTGAGCTTGACGTGATCTGGTACACTAAACAAAAGTCTGAAGTTTGTTCCTTGCTGTAACATTTTATACCGCTTTTCATTTTCATCTTTAAGTGCTGTTATATTATTTTTTGCGTTCTCGAATATTTTTCGTCTGTTAATATATTTGATCTTAAAGTATATGGCCTGATTCCTTACGGTACGGATGACATATCTGAAACGGCTGTCATCACTTCTCTCGGACTCTGGCAATTGTTGTTCATGCCTTTCGGCTTAGGTAATGTTGCACAAAATTTTCAGAGACTCAGCTATGATATCTCTAGAGGTCTTAACTCGGTGCCCGTTCTTACACGTTGCTGCTTGATTGCAAGTCCGGACAGAAAATCTCATCTCCAGAGTCTAGGCCTTGTTTTCAAACGAATCACAAAATACAGCATTACCGTAAACATACAAAAATTTTAGATCGAAGCAGACTTCCTGGACTACATCATACAGATCATTATTACTCAAGGAATTCAACCCGCGATAAACAGATTAACGCCATTCTGGATTGCCGAAAACGGGCAATAGTCAAAGGATTACTCACTTTCATCGGCCTGGTAAATTTCTGTTGACTGATTACACTGAATTACCTGTCTCTTACAAGACCCTTGACAGACCATCTTCCTAGAAGTAGGAAATTTATCATTTTGGACGACGAAGAAACAAAATATTCTCCACAGTTAAGGAAATTATCGGAAAAGTAACCATGCCTACACAGTAGGACTGTTATATCTAAAACGTTATCTTTTTCTATGCCGCCTACAACTTTAGCACTTGAACATATCAGCCTTTCTATTGGCAAGGTAAAAAGCTGAAGAGGAGTAGTGGAGTGGAATTTCATCTCAACAAGTCAAATATGGTACAAAACACACAGTTTTTAGTAGGAAATAAATGATCATTACAAGCATCCAATCCATATGAAGTAGTTTTGGCCATTTGTGTAATCAGGCAGCTACATGTTCAGATGCTGAAATGTTCTTCCAAACGATGATTGTGTGGAATATCCTTTTCTCTTTTATTGCTTCTTAGAGCTCCTTTGCGTTCACCGAGAGCCGTCACCACATATCCCCGCTTTAAGGTCTCTTGTGTTTAACTTTCTGCTCCGCTCCACTCCTTTCGGTGTTCATCGCTCTTGAATGCTGCACTAGTTTACCACTAGTTCACCACTGTTTGTCGACTTGCGATCAGAAGACAGTTCATCTACATAAGTAAGGTACTACAGTACCGACATTGCCTAACTTAAATGATGGCCTGTTGTGTGGAACTTTCACAGCAGTCTCAATCCACAGGTTGTTTTGGGTCTTAAAGAGCATATCAACTTTGTCAAGTTACTAATAAATTCGTAAAACATGGACAACCGGGTTCTTTGGAGAGTCAAGTTTTTATCACAATAATTAAGTGTTTCCCTACCATCAGTCTTCCTTAGAATAGTGACTAATAGTCTGATAAGGTATGATAAGGTATCCAACTTAGAGACTCAAGATAAAGATTGAGAGTTGCTTTCGCAACCAGGATTCAGTTCATTTGGTCCAACCGATTTACTAATGTCAAGTTTATTTAACAGACCAACTACATGGAGTTTACTGTGGTCAACTTTCACCGACGTCATATTACGGTCTCTAGAATATGTTGGAGTAACGTTCCCGTTTGTCCTTCGGTATATGTATTACTATAACAGTTTCAGGTATTTTAAAAGATCTTTAATGAATGTTTCTTCATATCTTCTCAACGACCGAGAGGTGAGTCACAAATATTTCCGACTTTCTGATATTAAAACCTTCTCCTCATAGCCCAGTAATCTAACTGTCTTCCATATTCGTCTCCTTTCATAGGGAAATGTACAAACCTCTTGATGTGTTCGTAGGTTTGCTTGGTACCTTTCAAAGTATAGCGTTGGAGCTTTTACCCATGAATTTCTAGAAGACTTTCAACGTGTCAATGCAAGATCACTTTGCGTTCTACGATAATATTGGAAGAAAAGATTTAAGCGTTTTACTCATACGTTGTATGGGAGATCAAGAAGACCTGTGACTAACTTTGTTCTATCCGTAGTCAAATATGTTAACCTCCTTACAAAAAACATGGACTAGTTGATTGGATGAAGTATTTCAAATTAGGTTTCAAGTATGCACTACATGTTATACGCTGCTGAAGATTAGAAATTGCTCATAAGTGTCAAAATGTAGTTGCCGACAATATCTTGATCAACACAATCATGTTTCTGAAATACTGAATGAATCATACTTCATTCATCATGTCTTCCTAATGTCTTGCATTTGTTTGGTTGCATTGTCTAACCGGAATACCTGGGCAGTATGAATGTTGCACTAGTTGTGGTCTAAGCCAACCGTCCTACCCTTTAACACCTTACTCAGTCTAATGTTGGCATCTCTGTCAATCATCGGATCATGCTTTCACGAACTAAAAATTAATGGCTATCTTCTGCGAACTATCTAGGCATTAGTAAGCTAACTATTAACTTACGTATAGCTTTATCTGATATGGACCAACCACCTATCCGAATATTGAGACGACCATGTCCAGTTCCATCTGATGTTCCTAATACACCACAGAGGTTAGCATTTTTGTGAAAATTTTCATATTTGTAGGCCACCAGTAGTCACAAAAACACTTGAACAAAGGGAAGCAGACTATGCTGCTGCTCGAAAAAGGATAATGGGGTCCGCTACCCCGGAGTCACTTAAGGTAGAGACGAAAGAATTAACAGAGTAAGTATCGAGGTCTTATAATGGAATTTTAAGCTGTTTTGTTAAGTGGTTTTGCGGAACGTGATAAAGTATATTTTTATCTCGTTAATACACTATGGTACTGAGAATTACACTAAAGATGCATTTCGCTCACTATCTGCCTATTTAGGTGACTCTTCTAGAAACAGGCTAAAGCTTCATGTTGACTTTTCCTTAATACACTCTTTTACGCACTTAGTTATTTGGGAAGGCTTTGACAGAAAACCTTCAGGTCTGAGTAGACCACATGATAACGATATATCCTCGCTTTCCAGATACCGCTTTTCCTTCTCTAGTTCAAACCAAAGGTCATACAACACATTCATTATCAATTCATGCCTCACCAATAGCTTGCCTCTAGTTTTTGCAGAATGATGTAAACGACTCAAATTTTTCAGCCTACAAGTTAATGTCCTAGACTAAGTTTTGCTGCTTATTTACTTCGTTGGTGTTGAGTGAGTTGCAGTAGACATGTTCTTATCAATCTGCCCGAAGGTTCGACGGGGATTTGTAATCCTCAAACCTAGTCACGGCTATGCACCAGCAAGAATTGGTTTCCAAGCCATAAGTTGCCATGCTTCTTGAATCCTCGAGTTGGAAATGAAGATAAATGTTTTGTCACCAACAAACGCGCAAAAAATCTGGTTGGTACGCTTCTTAGCTAAGTTAATCGACAGATGTCATGCATTTAAAACTATGTGGTCGTTTAGTAATGACAACAAATGCCGTCAAAATTTTCTAAAAATGTGGCCTTAAACAAACAAAATAACCAGCTAACTGATAAGTTCATAACGACAGACACTAAGGGAGTCCTGATACAGGGTTATAGGATTGTCCATTTTAGCGTATCAAGAGGTTTTGCCAAGGTTGTATTAACCTCCTCAAGTGAAGCTCTGCATAGACTAGGTTTATACGAGAAAACTTAAATGTTTTTTTTTGTTTAGTGACAGTTCATTGGGTTGCACAGAAAGTATAGGGTTCTGATTGTAATGTAGTGGCCTCCAAATGCCATGAGAAGAGTCAACCGCCTCACTCGAAATGCTCTCACATGGATACGCGTACACATGGTTTATGTAGCACTTATGTATTCGGTGCCTTATCGTAGCAATATTTGTGTTTAAATAAATGATTAGGCATTCTCAATGTAATGAAACTACGCAGATACTTCGAAATGCTCATCTAGCTATTCCAGAATTGTATTCGTAGGATTTCGCGTAGAAGTTGCTACTTCGTGATCTCTTGAAATTGTTTGTGCAATAGATTTGTGTAACTGCTTACAAATCTGTCAGGTTTGAAAACCCACTGGTCCTCGTACTCAGTAAGTTTTTCCAGACAAGATCGTAGTATACTTTCTATCTTACACAAACTAAAGCAGTTTATTGAACTCCGTGTGTTGCCAAGCTTTATTTAAATCAGTTAATACAAATAGATGTTCTCATTTGACATATTATACCGTTTGTCTTTAATCTATTCTTGTTTCTTGGTGTAGGTCTAATCCATTGAAAATGACAGACGATTCCAACAAGGTCATTACAAAACAGGATCCGTCAATTGCGTCCACCATTCCCACGACTCAGAACATGGAGGTTAGTGGTCAAAGTAACTTTTCGGAAATGACAACCAATCACTTGTTCACTAACCACAGTGGAGTCCAACTTTCCATGCCCCAGAGTAGCAAACAGCCTCTGGATATCAATGTTGGTCGAAAGCCTCAACAACACTCACATTCTACATCAAACGGCGTTCGGCAGAATTTACAACAGCGCAGTGCAACAGTGTCTGCCAATAGATTATCTTATATTCCTCCCCATCCTCCTCTTTTTTCTTTTCAAACTGGGTACAATAATGTTGGCCTTCTTCCTACTCCGCCTGGCTTTCAATGTTCACTTCCAAATGAGACGAATGGTAGTCTTCAACAAACGACTGCCTTCGCTTTGATGCAACAGTTTAGTCTACTACAACAACAATATCAACATACTTTAACTGGCATTCAAAAACAGTTAGTTTCTTCTGGATCGCACTCGTCCAACAGTTTTAATCCTTTGAACTTTTCATCGTTTTCCCAGTCTAACATCAACCAGAAGTAAGTTTCATCAACGTTTTTATCTTGTACACAGAAACTAACATCGTTAGTTGAGTTCCGGGATTTGTTGTAAATTGCACGTGTCAGTCATCTGCTGGCAAACGCGTTTATCTTGTTCACAAAACTGTTAAGTTGTGACTGTAGTCGCTGAGAGTTGGATATTTTGTTTCTATACCACTTCGTACAAAATCTTATTCTGTAACATCTAATCTCAAAAGAAACACTTTTTTATATATTTACACGCTCTTAAATTCATGATATCAACACATGTTTGTTAACATTTTATTTTCAGATATACCAATCCTTCAACTTTCAATTGATTTAAATTTGCAGTAGTCAGCGTGTAAACGTGTACCTATTTTCCATTTCAAATGGGGTTTCGTAGATGTACAACTTTATGTAATGACTTTAACCACTCTCTGCTTTTGATAATTTTGTGGTTTAGTGCTATACTCAGCTTGTGCTGTGACATTTTATTCAATATACATATACTTCTGTATAAATAAAGTGCTTAGAAAACCAATGCTGTTTTTTTCGTGCATATATTCAGTATCGAATGCCTTCTCCGAACATATTTTGCTTTAATTGTTCCTTACACTAGAGCTAAGAATTGTTTTTCTATATACAGATGTGCTCAGTTTATGTGATCACGTAGTTCCCATTGTGTGGTAAAAATTGATCTTTTGGAATGGTAGCTTGTTCAATGGCTTTATAATTGTAGGTTGTTTGTGGTCAGCATCTGTGAGGTTCGTCAATCCATTTCGTAGTCTATTTTTGCCGCTCACTAGGATTTTTCTTGCTTTCCAGTCTGTGGTTTTTCTTCAACCTTCATACCATTTAATAGAAAAGAAAGCCGGGAACATATGCAACATTTGACTTCCTAATTTCTAGAGACCACTACCAAACAAACAAAGCATAACAAATTTCAAATGTGCTTGGGTTTAGTTCTCCTTAATGCTGAGATAGTCGTGATTTTCGTAACTACATGACACGGCTCAAGATTGCACACAATAGCTCAGGTACATCTATTGTCTTCTCTTTGATCTTGAGTTTCTAAATTACCAATGACAGATTCTTTTTTGCATTTGACTGACAAACTGGATAATCTGTGACTTAGTTGGCAGTCCGAAACAACGACGATGTCGTAAGTCATCAGTCTTTTTGCAGGTCCTTGCGTTCTACCCACTAGTGACCGGCGTCTTAGGGGGTGAGACTACTATTATCCCGTGTCCGCTCCCAATTTACTGCGAATAATGTATAGATAAACCATCATTTGCATTCATTGACTGTCTTTTTCTGTAACTCCCACATATCTCAGATTTCGTCTGGTTAATCAGAGTTACAATGGTGTTATGAAGTGAGAACTTGCAATTAGGTAGTTGTGTACAACTATGAATGTATCAGTAAGCTTTCTCGGTACTTCTGTTTTTACTACTAAGTGCCAAATGATTAGAATCCTTACAAACATTTGGCAGATTTGTGACTAAGCCCACTTTTTTGCTGGCCACCGGTAATCTTATCTCCAGTTATATATTCTTTAATACGAGATCAAAACAAATCTAGGTTTATGTAATTAACCTGGTTATACTGTTCGGTAGCCTTATCCATCCAAAAGTAGTGTTGTCATATCTGGCTACTGTTTCTCTTATGTCCTACTTCTGAAAAAGCCATCTCCAAAGCACCAAAAGGTTGGGAAAGATCGCTTGATTCCTGGGGTCTTTCTACTTGACTTTGAGATGCCTCTATTTATTTATGTTATTCAGAAAGATGGGGTCTTACTGGTGTTGTAATTATTTTGCTTTCGAGCACAAGTAAACGGACGGTTTTCTTGTACATCTAACCACAAGATTGAATCCAGGCGTTTGCACTCTTTAGTCCCCTCCCTCATTTTTATCAACGTTTTTCTCTGAACACCTGTAGAGTTGTGACACGCTTATTTGCGCATATTAACCCTCGTGGAGGGTTATAGGCCATCCACCAGCACTCTCCATTCAACTCTGTCCTGGGCAGTTCTTTTGATAAGTATAGCGATCCGGTTGACACCCAGTGAGATAGTGTAATACGAAACGTGATGGGTTTAACTCAAGTTACCATCCCTTATTAGCTTACCGAGATAAAATTACTACAACAAATGAATAATATATCGGTATCGGTACTAACAAAAAAGTTTAGGTTTAGAAGAAATAAAGTGTAGGGAATTTCCGAGACTCAGGTTCTAGGAGGGGTTAAAAAGTGAATTCACCTACACCATTGTAAACGATTCTAAGCCATATCACTCGAAATCCTCAATCACCTGTTACGATGGTCGCGTCAATCCCAACGAGTTAGTCTGCACCTACCTATATGCTGCTGTCCAACAGTCGAAAAATCAATAGACTTATGTTTCGTCTTAGTTTGACATCGTCAAGCTGCCAATGTGCTTTTACATTAGCGATCATCGTGCGGTAAGGTAGGTGATAGCTAGACGTATGTAATATGTCTCAATCACCGTGACTGACGAAGATTCACAAACTCACCTGATTTTCCGTCTATACATAGTACTCTGTATCTAACCTCAGAATTGCTAACTTGATGGTCTCAAGATATACTAGCAATGGTTTGAAAGCATGTTTGATCGACTGCTGGCAACCTACAAGTTCTAAGTCCATGTTGCTTGGTAGCAAAGCCAAGTACTGAACAGTAAACTCGTCTTTTGGTTGGCAGATGGATATCTCACCTACCGTAAAGATGACGCAAATTGGCAAAGGCTAATCGAGCTTTCTAATTCCTTCTCGACATTTAGTCGGACATTAAGCCTTCAAGGCTAATAAAACTGCCATGATAAGTGAAGCTGTTGACGAGCTCAAACACTGTATCCCTTTTCATCGATTCAGATGTTGGTGTAGACCAGTCCTGAAGCAATAACTTGTATTTATAGTGAAAAGAAACGCATTCTAAACATGCATTATTGCTTCAGATGGTTGGAAGACCCCACATTTTGCCAGTATCTTCACCATGTAAGACTGTCATCTGCATAAACAAAGTTGATAAGTTAACATTTAGTGGTAGATCTACCCCTGAAAAGTCAAATGAAGCTTTATTTGTGGTAGGAAATTTATGAAGAAATTAAAAAGTAGATGATCATGACGAATACCACCCAATATTAACAGTACTCCATGAGCTCTTTTTAATGTCAAACTTTAACACAGAACCTCTCGTTCTGTATAGTCAAGTACTTCCTTAAGGTCGTGAAGTATTTTTGTCTATTTCTTAAAACCTAATGATTGGTGAATATTTTTTCTACATATCACAGGTCTGAAACCAGTTAGGCTTTCAAATGGTTATTGAGGTGAACAATTTAATTACTATATATTTGACGAACGATCAGTATTGATAGATGGTTAAGACAATTATTCATAGTTTTATCTGACAGTGTGATTTTCATCTTTCACTAAACATAACTATATTCAACAATCAAAACTTTAAGACTATTTTATATCATCATAGTTGAAATCATGAGTCAATTAAAGCTAGACTACCAGGGAAAACCTGTAAGCATTGGATGACCATTTCGTCCTATTATGGGACTCCTCAGCAGTGCGCATCCAGGTTTTCCCTGGTTGTGGTCTAGCTTCAATTGACTCATGCTTTCAACTATGAAAATACTGAAATCTCCACCAAACCCCTTCAGATATTTTATATCTATTTTATTTCTTATTATTAGTTTACTTATCATCAATATAATTGTTTTGTATTATTTGCGTTCATTATAGATTAATATATGATAGAAAATTACATTATAGTATCGTTCTGCTTTTTTCTAATATCGATAAGTTACATACATATTTTGTGTGTATGTTAATAATATTTGAGAATTTTCATATTTTTGAATAGATTTCATTATTACAGCGAGCATTTAATGGTATTGTCATCATAATCTATGTTTATTTATTTGTTTAAACGCCCCCAAATGCCCTGGTACGACCGAGAGTGGGGAGGGGCCACACTCCTTCTCGAAATACTCTCACATGGAAACGCGTATATAGCCTCCACGACGGAAGTCCTACTCGCTACCTTTTCATGGCATTGCTGTTGTTTACGAAATTGAGAGTTTGAAAAGCGAATGTCCGGCGCTTTAACTGGGTTGGTGGACACGGAAAGTTCACCTAGGGGAGTTGGAAAACCCTTATTCCAAACCAATGGTGCACATGGGCTCCAGCATCCTGAGGGAACAAATAACGTATGAATGAATCGTCGGTCACTGGCTACCATGGGACTACATCTCCTCACGATGCTCTGCTGCCTTGTGGATCAGATATTTAGTTCAAAGGCTCCGAGTGTGGTCCCCTAAGAAAACCACCTGTTTCCGTTTGGGCACCTGGGTAGTATCACAGCCCTTACACAAATCGAATGAGATTTGTGCGGTGCATATGTATTCGGTGCCTCTTTGTACCAATATTTATGTGTTCAAATAATAATAAAATAAGGTGGTAATCTGAGGCTATGCCAGCTCCTCTCCTTGTTTTTACGTCTTACATTGCTCTTCTGAAATAATGACTGATGCAAATATGATTTCTCTTGTTCTCTGTGGTGCAGTCCAATGAGACTCTTGTAGCTTTGTGTGGAAATATTGTGCTGCCTATAACCATTTTGTTGAACTCACATAAATTTGCAAGTCTGTCACCATTCTCGTTCCTTTCTCCCAGTCTGTGGCATTCCATGATATCCTCATATCTAGCGTTGTTCATTCCGACTTTGGCGTTTAGAGCTCCTATTAGGATTGTCAGGTCCTTTCCTGGGCACTTCGCTATGATTGATTGTAACCTCTGATGAAACTGATACTTTATCGTTGTCGTTACTATGATTGGTGGTTGCATGACATTGGATAACGTTCATTGCGATTCTCTCCTTTGTTTTGAAGATTCTGAGTTGATGAGATTCGCTCCTGATAAGTGCATTTCGTGCTTCTATGTGCAGCATCAGTGCAACTCCGTGGGTGTGTGGAGCATTTTCTTCGTGACGGGAGTATAGGTGCATCTCAGGTGTATCTAGCCTTTACTGTTCAGCTCGGCCCGATGGGATCGCTGATTCCGAGTACTTCTAAATTGTATCTCCTCAATCCCGCAGCTATCTGATTGGCCCTCTCGGTCTCCCACATTGTCTAGTCATCTCATTTACCCATACTAATTGTTGCTCTGGTTGTTAGAAGATTTTTCGGTCTCGTGGCTGCCAAAGAATCTCGACTTCCATTATGAGGCGTCATAATTCCTCCTTCAACTTGGAGTGTATATCTTGAATGGTCTAAATTACTTATTCTGTTTCGCACATTTCTAGCAAGGTTGTTTGCTACAGGATGGAGTTGCTGACCTCATGCTCAACTCTCCTCGTTAACCCGTGCTTTGGAACTTCAGTAACCCTAGAAGGGCTATATACGTAGTATGTAGACTTGCGGGCCAGAAATTTTGTTGTGACATCCATGAAGGAACCCCCCTAACCAATACAGTACCCAAACTAATAACTCTAAAATGTAGCACCAAACTGAAAAATACCTCATTTTAGACTTGGCCATGAGTAAACCGATCAATTATTTACACACCGGTAGGTTGTAGAATACATGCTGATGCCCAACTCTAATTTGGTTTCTCAACCTAAAAGTGACATTGGTCTTAACCGATCATGTTTTATGGCAGAGTTTGTCACTGAAGTGTTCTACAAAATATTACATAAACCTTCCGGAGATTTTCTACTCAAAAGTCCAGTAGCTTTAAAACTTGAGGTGATTGTCCTGCTGACTGCTTTCTAGTAAAGATGGTGTTGTTTATGAAATTGAAAGAAAAGCCAATATTCGACGCTTTAACCCGATTGGCGAGTACAGATGAACAATATAGGACAGTTGGAAAACTGATTCCAAACCAATTGTGCACATAAGCTCCAGGATCCTAAAAACAACGAATGGCGTGTGAACCTATTGTTGGTCACTGGCTAACATGGAACTTCATCTCCCAACGTTGATCAACAACCTTGTGGATTAAACCTTCAAGTCAAAGGTCTGGTATGTGGCCCTGTGAGAAAACCACCTG